TTCGATTTGTAGGGACAGTGTGGTCACCGAAGCAACAGTTAGGACACCTTAGAAGCTACCCTTATGTCCTTGATCCTTTGTTTAATCCGAGGCAACCGTTTCGAGGCAACTATTTCGAGGCAACCGTTTCGAGGCAACTGTTTCGAGGCAACTGGATCATGGACATAAGGACTTACTAAAACGTCCTATACTTGACGACCACGTTTCGAAGGCAACAAGTGAGGCGTACCCTAGAAGTGGTGTGTGTATTTGTGTGTTTTTTTCAGTTTATCATTTATCTTTGATCATGGCATTGTGAGTTACGCTTGTTTTTAATTAGCATACATTCTTTCATACAAATTTAGCAGTTTAAGAGTGCGGAAAATTAAAAGACGGAAACATAAAAGCTACGCTATTACAAGGCGCGGGTCTATACATCGCCAAAGTACAAAGACCCATTTTTGATAAAAATGCGGAAAGTAAAAAAGACCTAATTACTATTACATCCTTGAGCAATTACATAATATTCAAAAGAAAATAATGCGCGAAAAGAAATTAAAATTGAACGTCCGAGGGTTTTGACCCTTTGCTTGAAATTAAATGAAATTAAAGTCTATTTAATTATTTAAAGAAAAAAAGAATTGTTTTTTATGTTTTTTGTATTTATGAAATAAAGAAAATTAAAATTAAATGGGAACCCTAATTCTAGATTATTTTTAGTTATTAAAGAAAATATCCAAGTTAACCTAATTTACGCTAATTAATTAATTTACATGTTTGTTTACAAAAATAAATAGTAATTAACAATAATAATAAATAATGAGAAAAATGATTTACTTAAGAAAAAGATGAAAATGTCAAAAACCCTAATTCTATGCATTTTTTATTTATTAAGGAAAAGTTTAAATTTTAAAACCTAATTTAACTAAATTAATTGTTAGAGTTTATTTACAAAAATATTTTAATGGTGAAATTAATAATAATTAAATATAAAACATTTTTTGGTTTCTGATTTTTTTATTATGAAAAATTATTTTATGGTGAAAAACAATACAATTAAAACAATTAAAAAAAAGAATTAGAATTGAAAAGAAAAATAAAATTAAAAGAAGCAAACCAAGGGGGGTTTCAGGCCCAAATGGAGGTAAATTGAAGCAATCTGGCCCATTAGCATAGAGTCTTGTTTGACTTTCCACGCTGGTGTGTGCCTTGGTTGAATGAGGTACATGATAGACCTCCTTTAGTGGCCTTCAGATTATGGGTCAAGGCCATCTGGCAAGCCAATGTATGAGGACGTATGGTGAACCATTGAGAATGTGCTGCATGTGAATACATTGAAACAAAAATTAAGAATTAAGTGGGGGGACCTGGGAATCGAACCCAGGTCCCAGCGTTTACCAAGTGTGTCCCTTGCCAAGTGAGTTGTTGTGCGCGTTTGTAAATAATATAACAAAGAATCAAAATATATGAAAAAAGATAATTATGCTGAAACGTTGAAAAACCGCGCCAAGGTTTGAATTATCCAACCATGTGCTGACACGCTAGCCTTCTTCTTCATCTTCCTGTAAAATACAAAACAAGTAGCGGGGGTTTTAAACCCCCACTAAGCATATCCACGAAAAATAGCGAATAGAAGATGCGTTAACATAAATTGAGCGCGAGGTCATCATTCAATTCGTATGGAGCTCCTGAATTCAACTGCATAGGTCTCAAGGTCCAATTTTTCCATACAAGGAAAGCCCTATTTTGAAGCTTCTGAAACCCTAGGTTTCATCAATGGTGGATTTGGCTACAGGCAGTGTTAGTCCAATTAAATGTTACCAATCGCTTCAGAAAGATGTTAGTAGCATAAATCAATAATCAAAACACATGAATGATGCGTGAAAATTAAAAATCGATTATGGACATTTTTGTGACAAGCATGATTATGTTCTACCGATTCTTGGAGTATGGGGACTTGTTCTTGATTGCAATAGACTCCTAGCAACGTCAGTAATGCAATGGAAAAGCTTTTAGGTCTTGAATCGCCCTGCAAATACGAAATCAGTTTCCAAGTTTTTGATGAAAAGTTGCAACTTTGTTCTATGGCTTTAGCAGCTTTTTCGTGTCTCCCTGAATTAGGTTTCCTTGTGCATATGTATGTGAATAATTCTAGGTCAAGAAAGAGCCCAAAAGTCCATGAATTTATGATTCATATATTTGATTTTCAATCATGAAATTTCAATCTTTTTTCCAATGAAACCTTGCCAATTATGGAAGATTTTGTCTTGTTGATTGATGCACGAAATCTTTAGCATATTTGGAACATATTTGCTGCACAAAAAGATTTGAAAAAGCATTATTTGATATTTTCTCATAATTAAATCTAATTAAATGAATTAATAAGAATAAAAACTCAATTAATTAATTAAAAATAAGAAAATAAATCCCTTTGATCTCAATGGGTCGTGCATAGGCTTTGGGTAATGATTCAAGGAAGAATTTGAGGCCCATTAGAAATTTTGAAGTATTTTAGGCAAAGTTGACTTTTGAAAATTCCCAAAAATTTCCAAACTTCTCCAATGCATATCTTGCTCAATTTTGAAGCTATGAACATGTTTTTGGACATTTTGGAAATGTCTTGAAGTCCTCTAACCAATGCCTTTGGTCCCATGTCATTTTGATTTACCAATCTCAAGTTATGGTCTTTGACTTAAAGTGCCTTTTTGTTGACTTTTGAAAATGACCTATAATGTTGAAATTGATAACTTTTTGTGAGAGCATTTCTTGGACTTGTAGTGTGAAGATGAGTTGTAGGAAATATCATTCTCTTCAAAATGAGATTTGGATGGAATTTTTCTGATAAACCATGAAGAAGTTATGCCTTGGTCAATTTGCAGTTGATTTTTTCAACTGTCCAAAAATAGAAACTTTTGCATCTTGAGACTTTTTGAGCCATGCTTTGAGAATCATGATCAAGAATTGATCAAATGATGTTTGTGGCTTCAAAATAAGATGTTGACCAAAAATTTTGACTTTTGACTGTCAAATGACCATTTTGCCCCTGCAATTGACTGTGAAGCATTTAAGGTTTTTGACTGTGCAATTTGATGCTGTGAGTCTTGAAACTTGACATATGAATGCTTGACAATGTATGTAGGCGTGTGGGACTTGATTGGACCCTTGGAAACCTCAATTTCTTTGCAAGAACCAAAACCCTAATTTTGATTGTGTTAGGAGGCAATTAGACTGTGCAATCCTTGAGAGATTTTGAATCATCTGGAGATTGATCTTGCCAAATCTTGAAGAATATGGGAGGGCAAATTTTGGGGTACAACAGGTTGTAATAATTTATTTAGGTTTATATTTTTTGCAAACCCCCATTCGAATTTGTATTCCCCCCTCCCATAAATTGTTGTAATAGCTTAGAAATATTTACATTACGCAATTTATCGCTTTATATGCCCTGATTAGTAATTAGGGTTTGTATGACAAGAACAAAACAAAGCAAAATAGAACACCCTAAAATACAAGACAAAATCAAAGCATGAAAATGATACACTTGCACACAAGCATCCTTAGGGTTTCTCCACTTGGTTGCCTAAAAAATGGTCATATTACGCATGCGAAGTATTTTGGCAAAAAACAAACAAGTATAAGATCATAGTCCCTCGATGACGCTATTCAAGTTTGCCTTATAAAAATGATCTTGGTCCCTCAAAAATGCTAAGATATTTTGCAACATTGCTAATCATGGTTATACGATGACCCACGCCCGTCCCGTTTACATCCAAAGATATGGTTGCTTACCAAATCAATGGTAAGACAACAATGTCAAAGGAATAGAAAATGCATAAGAAAGACTTTTGAGTAGGTAGAGTGCTTCTAGTTACTTTCTCTATTTCCAAACAACTATCCTTGCTATTTACAAAACACACACACTTCCAAACATTTTACAAACATTGAAAACATTTTCAAAAAAGACAAACATCTTTGTATACATTCTTACGAACGAGAATCATTACAAAGATCGCCTAAACGAATGGCCTCTTTTACAAAATACTTTCAAAACCACACCAAACACAATTTTAAACAAACAAAAGCAAGTGATCTAAGCAAGTAACTAAGAGCCCATGGAAAACCATGGATGAAAAGGGTGCTAACACCTCCCCTTTTCATAATCTACCCTCCGAACTCAAGAAAACATCTCAAAGGTCTTTCTTGTGCTTTTTCACCTTTTCTTTTGGATAAAAAAAGTCGGTAGCGACTCTTGCTAACCGCAACATTTGCGATAAAACGCAAAACCCTCAAGTCAGTTCTCCCACCGTATCACACACTTGTAATCTTGTTTCAGAGAGAAAGTAAAGAATAACAATTTATAACTAATTCATTGTGTTCTTCTTGCTTCCCTATTTCCTACCCTTATGAATTTCTTGACGATCAAGAAACCGGTTATACTTTATTATTTCGGCATCGTTGTTCATTATATATATATATATATATATATATATATATATATATATATATATATATATATATATATATATATATATATATATATATATATATATATATATATATATATATATATATATATATATATATATATATATATATATATATATATATATATATATATATATATATATATATATATATATATATATATATATATATATATATATATATATATATATATATATATATATATATATATATATATACATTAAATTTGTGTTTCATAATAGAAAAGTCAAAGAAAAAAATATGGCTAAGCCAAGGAAAACTTTGTGCCAATAAAAGTAGATGGTTAACAATCTAATAAAATTATAATGAGCTAATAAAGTTGTCTCGTTTGTATATCTAAAAATTTCACAAGTTATTTGTATGTATAGTTTTATTTGTATCATTTAATTTTGGAATAAATACTATAAAGTTAGTTGTTTCATTTGATTTCGAGATGAATATTTGCGAGAATTGTGAGAATTATAACAATGAGAGTAAAATTATATTTCTAGTAAAATTATCAAGACAACACTAGTATGAGGATGATTCCGAAGAAAAAGAATCTTGAGAAAGTGTCAGATTGCAGACCTATTTCACTAATTGGTTCCATCTATAAAGTAATATCCAAAGTTTTAGCAAATAGGCTGAAAAAGGTGATTGGTTCGGTGGTGTCAGAGACGCAGTCAAATTTTATTTTTGGAAGATAAATTCTTGATGGTATCCTTATTGCAAACGAAATTTTTAAGGTAGATTTTGAAAAGGCATTCAATTTCATTGATTAGAACTTCCTTAACTTTGTCAGGCAAAATATGGGATTTCATGAGAAATAGAGGAATTAGATTACAGAATTCCTTCAAACTAACTCTACATCTGTGTTAATTAATATGAGTCCTTCAAAGGAATTCGAGATGGGACGAGCTCTTAGACAGGGAGATCCTTTATCCCCGTTTCTCTTCTTGTTATATACAGAAGGTTTCAATCTATTGATGAAAAAATCATTGGATTCAGGGGATTTTATAGGTTACTTATTCGATGGGGAGGGAAACAGATGTTTTTCCCATCTTGAATATGTTGATGACACTTTAATCATCGGTAAAAAAAGATGGGGGAACATTTGGAGTTTGAAGGCAAATCTTCTGCTTTTTGAGCTTATGTCGGGTCTTAAGGTGAATTTCATAAAAGTATCCTTATCAGGATTAATATCTCTCATGGTTGGATAGAAGAGGTGGCTAATATTCTAAATTGCAAAATTGGTAACATCCCTTTCATATATCTCAACTTACTGATTGGGGCTAACCCGAGACGAATTGCGACATGGAAGTCCGTGTTTGATACAGTGAGATCTAGACTGTCAAGATGGAAACACAATCAATTATCCACCGGTGGTTTGGTTGTGGTTATTAAATCAGTCTTGTCAGCCATCCCGATCTACTATATTTCCTTCTTCAAGGCTCCGTCAGGTATCATTTCGAAACTTGAATGCTTGTTTAAACAATTTTTATGGGGAGGGGAAGAGGACGAGAGGAAAATTAATTGGGTTAGTTGGAATAAGGTGTGTAGACCTTTAGAAGAGGGGGGTCTGGGATTTAAAAAGTTGATAGTATTTAATGATGCTCTTTTGGGTAAATGGATTTGGAAGATTAGTTGTGATAGAGGTGGTCTTTGGAACAAAGCTTTGTCTAATAGACATGGAGAGCATAATAGGATTATTAATTGTGGGGGTCGAGAGTGTTCTCTTTGGTGGTCTGATTTAAACAATATAAACTTAGGGGTTGGAGAAATACCTACTCAATACTCGGTTAGAGGAACATATAAAAAGATCTTGTAGTTCAGAGCTGGCTTGCCCCGATCTTCAATGGACGAAAATTTGGCATAAATCGATGCCGTCAAATGTCTCTTACATGGTTTGAAGGCTTGTCTAGAACAGAATGGCCATAAAAGATAACTTACACAGGAGATGAGTTATAGGTTCAATATCTCTCTCTTGTTCTAGGGGGTATGGGAGTGAAGAATCGGTGTCCTATCTATTTTTTCAATGACCATTTTTTGCAGGTATTTGGTATCATATCTCAAATTGGTTGGGTATCTCAACGAAAATGCGTAATGAAGGGATAGATCACCTCCACCAATTTGAAGGCCTCATGGGCAGAAAAAGAGCATTCATCAAAAGGATTCGGGTGATCTGGTTCGCTTGTATCTGATGTATATGGATGGAAGTATAGAAATGATAAGCAATTCAATAATAAGGATATCAATATGATTAACATGGTAGAATCTGTAAAACGATGGTATTGGAATTGGTTGAAAATCAAATCAAGCAGCATACAAGATAACTTCTCCTTTTGGTATTTGAATTCTAGAGTTATGCTTGGTTGCCTTGATTAACTCGTCTATTGCGCGTGGGTTTTCAGCTAGGAGGATGGATTCTCAGTATGCTCGCTAGATTCTTGTGTGCGGGGCTGCTTTCAGTCGGTTTCCAGTGACCTTCTTGATCGCGTCGAAGCGATCTGTTTTATTTTCAATAATTAGGGGCTTCTCTCATCCCGTTTCCGCTCCTGTTTTGGTGTGCTATCACCTTCGGTTGAGTCTATTTACAGCTTTGCAGTCGCTTCTTGGAGAAGCAGAGTCTGCAACTGGCAATGCTAGGGTCTAGCTGAGATTCTGGTGTTTCTGTCGCTTCCTTATCTATTTACAGTTCCAGAAGGCTGATTTGGTGTTTGTTTGGAATATCTCCAGATGGACCTGGTGTCAATTTTGAATATTATTCTGTCATTTCTATGTTTCTTTGCCTCTATTAATAGGTTGTTTTGAAATTGGTGTATTTGATAATGCACAAAGTCCACTATTTTATATTTTGTGCTTATCTGTGTTTGTTTGTAGATTGATTTAGCACACCTTGTACTCTTATTTAATCTGTCTTATTGACCTATTTAAAAAAAATTAATACGTGAAACCAAAATATCTCTAACAAAATTTTAACGATGAAAGATCTTAGGCACACCTTTAAATTAAAAAAAAAAGTTATTCAATAAATCTAATTAATATATCATACACTTTAATACTCATAAATTATTTTTAAAGTATTTTTTTTACAATATTTTTAAAGTATCTTTTAGTTATCACAAAAAAGTTATATAAATAAAGTTGAAAGTAAATTCAACATAAAAGACAATAAATTTTAAGATATTTTAATTACTAAAAAAATGTTTTCTCTTAATTATAATTATTTAAAAGAAAATTTATAAATTTAAAAAATTGAATATCTTCCTACGTCTTCAATCTTATATATGATATAAATTATAAGCATATGGAAAAAGTGTCCATAAAATATTAATCAAATCCTTGAGCAATTCAAATTTTAATTTTTGAAAAAAGAGACAATCGTAAGAGCTGTTAAAGAAAATAAAAGAGCTTATATTCACAAATCATATAACTAACCATATGGATGTTAGTGCGTGAGACACTTTTAGTGAGGAGAGAAAGAGAGAATAATAAAGGAAATAGGGATTTGTATTATTCAATTGTACAAATAATGATATACACTATGACTATTTATATACAACTCTAATTGGGCTTGAGCTAACACAACTTGGATTATATTAAATATTAAATCAAATCAAATCTAATTAAATCAAATCTAATCTAATTTAATATTTCAACACACCCCCATAATCCAAGTTGTCGAACATCCTCAAAAATAGTCAATCTGAACTATTCCTAATTTCTTTCTCAAATTCAGGAATCTGTCAATCTTCAATTCTTTGGTGAAAATGTCATTCAACTGTGCTTCACTTGAGCAATGTCTAACTTCAAGTTTACCTTGATTTACTTTTTCCCTCAAGAAGTGAAACCTTGCTTCAATATGTTTACTTCTTCCATGCAGAACTGGATTCATCGCCAGATTTATGGCTGACTTGTTGTCGATTTGCAATACTAGAGGTTTCTTCACTTCGACAATCATTTCTTCAAGTACAGATCTAATCCAAATTTCTTGACATGCAACATAGGATCCTGCTATATATTCAGCTTCACACGATGACAATGCCACCACAGGTTGCTTCTTCGAACACCATGAGATTGGGGCACCAAATACTTGAAAGAAATATTCAGTTGTGCTTCTTCGATCTTCCTTATCTCCACACCAATCAGCATTTGAAAAACAATTAACTATTGCTTCTTTGCCTTCAGAATCTCGTTGAAATAGTATTCCACAATTTATTGAACCCTTCAAATATCGAAGGATTCTTCTTGCAACCATCATATGTGACACTCTTGGTTCATCCATATATCTGCTTACTAATCCGACTGCGAAACCTATATCAGGTTGACTGTTGCACACATACCTCAGAGATCCCACAATTTGCTTAAACAAAGTTGCATCGGCTTTGTCTTTCTCTCCATTCTTCTCCAACTTCACATTTGGTTAGACAGGTGAGGATGCAGGATTCGAACCATCCATTCTGAATCTCTTGTGTATCTCTTTGACATACTTTCTTTGATGTAGTACCATACCTTGCTTCGACATTTTAAATTCCATGCCTAGAAAATAAGACAATTTTCCTAGATCCGACATTTCAAATTCCTTCGTCATCAGCTCTTTGAACTTCGACAAGTTCTCCAAACTATTTCTAGTTACTAGAAAGTCATCAACATACAAGCAGATGATTGTTATATCTTGTGCTACAACCTGAACATAGACACCATACTCGTATTTGTATTTGACAAATCCTAATACGACTAAGCATGAGTCGATCTTCTTGTTCCATACCCTAGGTGCCTGCTTAAGGCCATAAAACACTTTGTGCAATCTATATACTTTACTCGCTTCCTTCTGAATCATAAACCCGGGAGGTTGTGTGACATAAACTTCTTCGTCTAAAGGACCATTCAGAAATGTTGATTTCATGTCTAGATGGAATGTTGACCAGCCTTGGTTGCATGCCAATGCTACTACTAGTCGAACAGTCTCTAATCTTGCTACTGGAGCAAATACTTCAGAGTAGTCAAGTCCTGCTCTTTGAAGAAAACCTCGAGCTATTAATATTGCTTTATGTCTTGCTATTGACCCATCTGCATTGTGTTTCAACTTGAACACCCACTTTACTTTGATAGCTTTTGTATGTGCTGGAAATTTTACTAACTCCCATGTGTTATTTCTTTCGATTGCCTATAGCTCTTCGACCATAGCTAACTTCCACTTGTTAATCTTCAAAGCTTCTCTATATTTGATTGGTTCAGAACCCACAAGTAAAGCAAAATGAACTAATTCTCCATCTGGTGTGATTTCATCATCACCCACCACTTCATAATCATGAAGTCTTGTTGGAAGAACTCTATTTTTTTGAGGTCTTTGGCTTGTTTCAGCCACAACCTCTTCGACTTCGAATGTGACGGGAGTGTCAACAACTGCTTCTTCTTCGACTTTGACTGGATTCTCAACAATTCCTTTGACATCTACTTCATTATTTTCTTCGTCGAAATCAAATTTCATTAATGATTTGTTAATTTAATTGCTAGAATTCCAATCCCAAGCAGAATTTTCATTAATCACAATATCTCGACTCAACATAATCTTTTCATTAACTGGATTGAATAGTCTGTATGCACCAATTTTATGATATCCTACCTGAATCATAGGTTCACTCTTGTCATCAAGCTTCCTTCTCCTTGCATCAGGAACATGCTTGTAACACATAGAGCCAAACACCTTCAAGTGACTTACTGATGGTCGTTTGCCATTCAACACTTCTTCAGGAACCTTGTTCTTCAATATCTTAGTAGGACACCTATTCAAAATATAAACTGTAGTCGAAACAACTTCTCCCCATAAAGATTTTGGCAAATTATTTTTCTTCAGCATGCATATCTCCATATCTAATATGGTTCTATTTCTTCTTTCAGCAATTCCATTATGTTGAAGTGTGTAAGGAGCAATTACCACATGATCAACACCATGTTCTGCACAGAAATGTTCAAACATCTTGGATGTGTATTCACCACCTCCATCTGTTTGTAGAACTTTAATCTTCTTATCACTCTGGTTTTCAACAAGTATCTTGAATCTATTAAAGATTTTGAATACTTTGTCCTTTCGTTTGATCACATAGATCCACAGCTTTAGACTAAACTCATCGACAAAGGAAACAAAATATTTGTTTCCACCAATTGTATGTTCTTCAAATGGACCACATACATCTAAATTCACCACTTCGAGAATGCAGGATGATCTCATTGACATAGTCGAAATGAAAGAATTTCTTGATTGATTTCCCACTAAACAACCTTCACAAAGTTTTTCAGGCATCTCAAGACTTGGAATATTAATAACCATATCTTGAGTAATCAGTTTATTAAGTGATCGAAAATTCAAATGTCCAAACCTCAAATGCCACAACCAACTATCCTTGTGGTCGACAACAATTTTCAAACATTGAACTTCTGTCGAACTGGTCATAGTCTTAAATGTCCTATTCTTCGACAATGGAGATTTTAAAACCAAATTGTTCTTAGTGTCGAACAATTTCAAAACTCCATCTTTCATGACAACTGAGAAACCTTTTTCAACTAGTTGTCCAACACTTAACAAGTTGCATTTTATTCCAGGTACATAGAGCATATCTTTGATCATAGCTTTCCCTCCATTACTCATTTGAAAGACTATGTTTCCAGTACCTTCTGCTTGCAACAAACTATTATCAGCAATTTTTACCTTGCTCTTCTTCGACTCGTAAAAATCTGCCAACCACTTCTTTCAATCAGTCATGTGGTTCAAGCAACCTGAGTCGAGAAACCAGATATTGGATTCAACATGGTTATCTGCAACTGCATCCATAAACATCATACCACCTTCAGAATCATCTGAATCTTGGCGTGCAAGGTTCGCTCCTTCGTCCTTGCCTTTCGATCCCTTGTCTTTTCTGTACCAACAATTCTTGGCCAAGTCTCCCCACTTTTCACAATTATAACACTGCATACCTTTCTTATCTTCTTTGTCCTTTCGATAGTTTCCTCCTCCTCTTTTCTAGGATTCAGAAGATCTATCTTCGACCTTATTCTTATGGGAATTCGACCAAGACTTCTTGCCACGAGTCTTGTCGAACTTGCCTTTGAATTTGTTGGAACCACCATCTTTTTTCCATGATTAAGCTTGCAGTGCCTGTATCGAGTCCTGAACTCCTTTTCTTTCGACAATCCTCATCTCACGCGCCTCCAACGAACCAACCAAATCTTCTACTTTAGTGGTTTCAAGATTGTTGGATTCTTGAATAGCTACGATAACGTGATCAAAGTGAGAGGTCAACATTATCCTTACTTTCTCAACTATCATCTTATCAGTAATGGTTTCACCACAATCCTTCATGAGATGGACGAGTTTCTGAACCTTCGACACATATTCTGCAACTTTTTTATCTTCTTCCATCGACAACAACTCATATTGTCGATGCAAGGTTTGTAATTTGACAGCCTTAACTTTCTCACCTCATTCAAAATATTTTACCAGAATATCCCGTGCCTCCTTCGCTGTTTCATCATGAGAGATTATGTCGAAGTTAGCAGCATCGACAGCCGTTTGAATGCAATAAGCAGCCTTGCAATCTTTCTTCTTGACTTCATTATGAGCTTTTTCTGTTTGTCGGTTGCATTTGCAGCCAATGCAGGAACGTCGTCGGTAACCACTTCTAGGGTTTCATGGAAGCCAAATAAGGATTGCATTTGTTTTTTCTATCGGATCCAATTTTTGCCGTCAAGCATTGGAAGAGAATTTGGAATGCCCTTTTCACTAGCCATCTTCGTAACGGTTGATTTACTTGCCCTAGAAAAACGATCTCTGACGTGAAATTCTTGAAAACTTGATCAAGAACAATAACTGAAAGCTCTGATATCAATTTGTTAGTGTGTGAGACACTTTTAGTGAGGAGAGAAAAAGAGAATAATAAAGGAAATACGGATTTGTATTATTCAATTGTACAAATAATGATACACACTATGACTATTTATATACAACCCTAATTGGACTTGAGCTAACACAACTTAGATTATATTAAATATTAAATCTAATCAAATCTAATCTAATTTAATTTAATATTTAAACAATAGAGATCTCCACTATGTTTGAATATGATGCTTTTAAATGTTCGTATATAAGAGGCACTTTAGCTCATAAAATGATTGTAAATATTTATGTCTCTTGATTGCATAGAATTAGAAATATTGAAAGATCATACAAGTTGTAATGTCATATAAGTCAATTTTATAGTATTTCAAAAACATATTTTATAGAATTTATTTTCTTTTAGATTATTGTTTTTGCAAGATATATAGAAATATACTTTATGCAATTATGCTAGTTGATCTGCTAATAAAAGATTTAACACACAAATTTTTCATACGATTGTTATCGCAAAAGATATCTTAGATTAGTGAAAATTTATCTGCTTTTATGTTATATAATTTTGTTTTAGTACCAATTCAGACTTTAAGTTATTATTATCTGCATAAATGAATTTTAGTAGGTTATTTTTACGAGCATTTGTATAAATATTGAATTTGAAAATTCAATTTGATTTCACTACAAATTTTAGTTAGATTAATTGAAAATAAACACGATTTCACTACAAATTTTAGTTGGATTAATTAAAAATAAACATGACTTAGAGATTTATATGCCACCTATTCATATTAATATATGTGATCAGGTAAGTGTATTGACGTGTCTTTGTGGTTTAGTTATATTTTATGTTAGTGATGACAAATGTGATAGTCATATTATTAATGTGTAACGTGAATTAGATTGTAAATTAAATATATAAAAATAAATATTATTTAGATTTGCAAAAAAAATGATTATGAATTATTAAAATATATTTTCTAAGTGAAAAATTATTAAAATATTTTATTAAATATTTAATTTAATTATTATATTTTAATATATTATTATGCGATCATATATCTTTATTTAATTATATTATCTATTTATCAATTATTAGCTTTAATGACTTATTGATCAAATTAAATATTAAAATTAATTAAATTTTCAATAAGAAAATTAATTATATATTTATCTAATTAATATGAATTGAATATGAAACAAAAATTCTAATTTTTCTTCACCCTATATATTAAACACTCGAAAAATTCTTTTGTTTCTATTTAAAGATGCTCAAGACATAGAATCCAAATTGAGAAAGAAACCTAAAGTAACCAACGTTTGTGATTTGTCTTTTTTTTTTGTATAATTATTATAATCCTTATTATTAAGTTTAAGTATCTCATGTGTGATTAATTATTAAATTAATTTTAATAATTCATTCCTCTCTTTTATGTGAGCACATGTAAAATGTGAAGTTAGTCCACTTTGTTTTATTTTTTATTTATATATTCTAATTTAGTTAATATGGCCCACTTGGAGTCACCGCCCTATCTATATAAAATTCTTAGGAGGTGTTCTTTGAAGCATTATTATTACATTCTTGAAGCAAGGTTGTTTGAACTCTATTCTTAATGGAAAGTGTGATTGAAGAAGATATTGTGATTGTAGGAGCTGGAATTGCTGGCCTCACAACCTCCTTGGGACTACACAGGTATTCTCTTCCTATATCTCTCTCTCTCTCTTGTATACTCATATCTGAATATGATACATACTTAACATATTGATTATGATAGATTGGGAATAAAAAGTTTGGTATTAGAAAGTTCATATAGTTTAAGAGCGAGTGGATTTGCACTAACAACATGGAGAAATGCTTGGAAGGCTTTGGATGCTGTCGGTGTTGGACACATCCTACGCCACCAACATATACAGCTTCACGGGTAAATTATCTTTTTTATTTTATCAACTTTCTTCAACTACATTTCTTGTTTATTTTAGAAGAAACATAAAAAATACACATTATCTTAGAGATAAAAACACCGTTAACATCTAGATTCAAAATATTTAACAAACAATCAGTGTCAAAGAAAAAAATAATATTCTAGCTAATAATGCATCCGACACTAGCTATAACAGTCACTTTATATATAGAGGATGGACACATGTTGATGGATATGTGGGCCAATGCCCCCACTAGTTTAGATCATGTGCAATGGTGTGTTTAATTGAACTCAACATGGCAAAATCATGTGCAATGGTGTGTTTAGAGTAGTGTTGAGTGTGTGTTGGAGGAGAGAGATGTTGAGAAAACTCAACACCATGTACACTGACGCATGGGCTGACGTGGCAGCGGCTGGTTGGCTGACCAGATTTTTATCCATTTAATACTTTGAACTCAATTATTTCGTTGCAAATTAATTTTTTTTTTTTTTACTAAAATTCATGATTTTTTTTTCTCTATAAATAGAGACTTGGTTCATTTGATTTGGACACAAAAAAAACTAAGTTTTTCACTATCTTAATTTTATTATTAGTGTTTATTTTGAAGTTAAGTGTCTTTTTTTAGTGAAATGGATCCCAATAATCATTTTAACACTCAAAATTCTGCTAATTTTCCATTTAACCAAAATCCCAACAATTTTCCAAATCCAAATCAATTTTCCAACCAACATCCTCAAAACATACCTAATTTTGGTTTTCCACCAAATTTCAACCAGACATCCTCTGTTCCAAACTTTCAAACATATTATGGATCTATGCCGAGAAATCCATCTCAAACACCCCCGTTTAATGGTTATGTGACAATGGCGAATGCAAATTTTCCAAGTGGTGGTGTACCTGAATTTCCCGAGTTTTCAACACAACTAACTATTGGTGGCATGATAGTTTCTAATGAAGTCGGTCCGAATTCAGAGGATTCAACTCCTAAGAGCAGGAAAACTCAGCAACCAGCATGGAACACTGAACAAAATTTGGTGCTAATTAGTGGGTGGATTAAATTTGGAACAAGCAGTGTTGTCGGGAGAAACCAGAAAGGTGAAACATATTGGGGTAAAATTGCTGAGTATTGTAATGAGCATTGCTCATTCGATCCTCCGCGTGATGGACCTGCATGCCGAAACCGTTTTAATTATATGAACAAAGTGTTGGGTAAATGGATTGGCGCTTATGATGGCGCTAAGCGTATGCAAGGAAGTGGTTGGTCGGAGAATGATGTTTTGGCAAAAGCGCGGGAATTATATGCATGTGGGAAGAATGTTAGATTCACTTTAATGGAAGAATGGCACGCTCTCCGTGATCAACCACGTTATGGTAGTCAAGTAGGAGGAAATATTGGCTCAGGAAGTAGTGGATCTAAGAGATCTCGCGAGAGTGATGCATGTGGCTCAAACACTGTAGAATCCAGTGCTCGTCCTATAGGAAGGGAGGCAGCTAAAAAAAAGGGTAAAAAGAAAAGCAAGGAATATGCCTCGGAGGTGGTGGACAAAGAATGGGCTGAATACAAAGAATTCAAGACGAAAGAGCTTGAACGATTGGACAACATAGCCTTGATGCAACAGCAGGCTAACAATATAGCCTTGGAAAAGACTAAAACCAAGAAAATGAAGATGTATCTAAAGCTAACTTCCGAAGAGCATCTAGATGACCGGAAGAACCAGCTGTTGAAAAAGTTGGAGGCAGAACTGTTTGATAATTAATTTCAATGAAGTATTTGTCAGTGTTGTGTTTGCTTTAATTATTGTTGTTTCAATATGCCAGTGTTGTGTTTGCTTTAATTATTGTTGTTTCAATATGCCAGTGTAGTGTTTGCTTTAATTATTGTTGTTTCAATATGCCAGTGTAGTGTTTGCTTTAATTATTGTTGTTTCAATATGCCAATGTAGTGTTTGCTTTAATTATTCCTTATCTGATAATTAACTCTATACAATAAATTATTTCGAATCCGTCAGTGGTCCACCACCCAATTCGAATCTATTCCTTATCTGATAATTAACTCTATACAATAAATTATTTCGAATCAGTCAGTGGTCCACCACCCAATTCGAATCTATTCCTTATCTGATAATTAACTATATACAATAAATTATTTTGAATCCGTCAGTGGTCCACCACCCACATCCATTTATATATAGGGACTCATACATCCATTTATGTACCAATATCCCAAATCCCATCCAATCTACCTCCAATATCACAAAAAAATGGATCCATCACAATATCATTTTGATATCGCAGCCTACAATCAAAATCGTGAAATTGAAGAAAATTATATAGTCAATCGATTTAGAGAGCGTAGAAACAAAATATCAGAAGATAATGCACCTCGTAGTAGAAAATATCTCAATAGAGATCATGCAGCGGCAAACCAAAGACTAATTGACGACTACTTTGTCAATGAGCCTACATATGACGATGTAATGTTTCGTCGTCGGTACCGGATAAAAAAAATGTTTTCCTTCGAATCGTTGGGGACCTTTCAAGTAGTGATAACTACTTCACCCAGCGAGTTGATGCAGCCAATAAAGAAGGTATATCACCCTTAGCAAAATGTACCACAGCAATGCGAATGTTAGCATATGGTGTGGCAGCAGATGCGGTTGATGAGTACATCAAAATAGGAGGTACTACAGCATTGGAGTGCTTACGTAGATTCTGTAAAGGAATCATACGCTTGTACGAGCAAGTGTATCTGAGAGCACCAACCCAAGATGACCTGCAAAGAATACTGCATGTTAGTGAAATGCGGGGGTTCCCAGGGATGATTGGGAGTATTGACTCCATGCACTGGGAGTGGAAAAATTGTCCTAAAGCATGGGAAGGACAATTTACTAGAGGGGATAAGGGAACCACCACAGTTATTCTTGAAGCAGTTGCATCTCATGACCTATGGATCTGGCATGCCTTTTTTGGATGTCCGGGAACGTTGAACGATATAAACGTTCTAGACCGGTCACCAGTGTTTGATGACGTGGAACAGGGAAAGGTTCCAAGTGTGAATTTCTTTGTGAATCAACGTCCATATAATATGGCATACTATCTAGCTGATGGTATCTACCCTTCTTATCCAACTTTCGTCAAATCGATTAGACTTCCTCAAAGTGAACCCGATAAATTATTTGCAAAATTTCAGGAGGGATGTCGGAAGGACATCGAACGTGCATTTGGAGTGCTCCAAGCTCGATTTAAAATCATCCGTGAACCAGCTCGCTTGTGGGACATAGCTGATTTGGGTATCATCATGAGGTCATGCATCATATTACATAATATGATTGTTGAGGATGAACGAGATTCATATTCTCAACGTTGGACCGATTTTGAGCAATCTGGGGAAAGTGGATCTAGTGCACCACAACCATACTCGACCGAGGTGTTACCCGCTTTTGCAAATCATGTGCGTGCTAGATCAGAGTTCCGTGATCCAAATGTTCATCAAGAATTGCAAGCCGATCTAGTGAAGCACATATGGATAAAGTTTGGAATGTTCCGTGATTGAATTATTTGTGTGTTGTATTGCATTTTAAATTATTTGTATCGTACTAATTACGTTACTTGTGTGTTGTATTGCATTTTAAATTATTTGTAACGTACTAATTACGTTAATTGTGTGTTGTATTTTAAATTAATTTAAGATGATTTGTATCGTATCCAATTATTTAAATAAATTTTGTTTTTATTACAAAAAATTAAAAAATAAATTATTAAGTATTTATTATTTTAATTTAATTTTAATCGATAATTGTAATTTTATGTAATCATAAAAATAAAAATAAAATTTAAATAAGAATATGAAAATAAAAAGTGGTGGGGTAGGGTGTTGAGTGAAAAACCATTGGAGAGGGTAAAAGTTGAATGGGTGTTGAGTTATTAGGTGGAAGAAAGAGAAAATGATGTGGAGTGTTGGGAGTTGAAAAAGTGAGTGTTGAGTTTTTCAACCATTGTAAATGGTTACACACATATACAATATTATAAATTATTATATTATCTATTAGTGGTTTAAATACTACACATACATAGATCCTACTAAATTGATATTTCATAATACCTACACTTATCAATGTCTAGTATAGATAAATAATGCTCGTTCAATTTTCAAATGTAAGTTATATTTATGATTAATTAAATATTAAAGTCTTTTAATAAGAAATTTTATTTAAATAATAAAAATTTAAATAAAAGATAATTCCTCCTCCATCAATTTTTCTATTTTCTATTCTCTTTTCTATTATTCTCTACTATTGAACTTTTAAGTTTTAAAAAGTAAACTCTTTATTGAAATTGTTTTTTATTATTTTATTCCAATTTTATTTTATTATTGAAGTTAGTTTATTAAGTTTAAATATGTGTTAATGATAGAAATTTCATCATTATTATAATTTTGTAGTCTTTGTTTAAAATTATTATACTTGCATATGACTTTTATAGTATAAGTCATATAAAAAAATGTAATTTGTTTTTTTATTATTAGTCTGGACTAGATCTGTCTGTGGCCCAATCACCAGTGAGGTCCAATCCAAGTTTGTCAACATATCATGCTGAACAGTATATCTTTCGAGCACACTCCGATCATGGGTATCTGGTCGGCTACGATTACTTCTCGTCGATGCCCGCGAGGAACGTCTCCGACGAGTACACGCTCTACCCGAGCACCCTCCTCGTAGGGCTGACCTTCAACCTCTCCGGATTTCGCGGAGTCCTCAGGGTCCCGGGAAGATCGCATCTTTATCCTCCCTGTCTTGTGGAGAGTATCATCCAGGTAGGGGGGCCACATGCAGGTCCCCACTACTCACGTAGAACCTGGCAGACCCTTTGTTGGGCCTGTTTGATCAGCCCAATAAAGAGACTTTGGTCCAGCGCTGGGGGCTATAAATATCCTTTCTTTCGAGAGGGTCAGGTATTCATTCATTCACACCTATATACATACTTGCTTGCTCATTCCGTCTCTC